TGAGTAACATAACGTGAAATTAGGCATCTCTTTTCATTTCTCAAATTTTAGTTTTACCACAAACCTTTTTCACGTGCACAATTCAATAGATTTTTGTTATCTTTCTGCTAATTGGACAGGAACAAATTTTGCTTTGTGATAAAATTGATATTTTTATTTATTTTTTAATCATTTACGATTAATTCCGAAACAATTTTTCCGATTTTACTCAATTTTTCTTGGATCCTCTCCCTTTTAATGATCCAAAGGTGGGGCAACAGAAAAATTTACTTCGGCAACATGTACTACAATAGAGAAAACCCTTCTTAATCATGAACCACTTGCACTATTCATAGGAATTATGTTGACAAGTGAACATTTCCTGGAACTTTGGAAATATTTCATACCCAGATTATACATACAAAATTCCAAAAATTTAAATGGAATTTATCCGATGTCCCTTCTTATTGCATGGGAATCAGCTCCAATTATTTGTTTTTACACTCTGACTATTGACATTTTTTTATTATGTTTATTTTAATTGATGTCCAAGAATGTGCAATTTTGTAATGTAATGTGCTGTATTGTAAAATAAACGGGGTTTTACGCCAAATCAAATTGCCTTTCCTGATCATACACACATTTATTAAGACTACAATAAGTCTCGTGAATAATAATAATAATTTATATCCTTATTCCCCTCATAACATATATTCCCCTTCCGATCCTTTTTTACGTGTGTATTTTGAAACCAGACTCCGCAGTGAATTTCACCCGGATAACACGCTTATCTTTACCGTATTTCCCCAACACCAGTGCTAGATCGGGGTTTGGTAACTTCGGATGGAAGATCATACACTCGCAAATATTGAACGTAACCCCGAAAATGTTGAACATACCTCCACTGCCTTTCCATTCGCATAATGGAAAATTAAATCTTCCGAGTTAAACATTAATGCATGGAGCATCGATTCTTCAGAATTGAACTCTAAGGAAAATGTTTTTTTCTCCGCGATCCAGTAAGTTGCTTCCATCTGAACGGAATCCACATCCAGTGCTTTCACAAAATTAGCAATTTTGCCCATGGTGGGTTTCGCACTTCTATTTGTGAAGCTGATAGGTTTGTTCCCGTAATTACTTCTTTGCTTTTGTAGTAAGGGAAATCATATGCTGAAGAAATAGACTGGGCCACATTTATATGGGGGAGAATTTTAATCTTTTTTTCAACGGGCCATTAGACGTGAGAAAGCCACTCTCTGAAAATTTCAGCTCATTCGGGTGTAACAAGAGATGGTGCTTTTGATTTAAAATTTATATGGGGATGTCTAATCTAATCTAATCTAACACCAACACAGCCAGTTCATGAAAGCATCATGGAAAATGATAGATATACCTCCATCCTTTTTCTTGTTTATTTGGTATATTTTGTACATCAGAAATGCGCAAAATATATCAAAACGGCCAGGCCTACTGTGCAGCAGCGATGCTTCAGAATCCAATAAATGGGTGAAACGTGGACATCTCGTACCGTACGTTCCGTTATTATAAATGATTGGTCGTTGGGAGCATTTAATCTAAAAACAGTTAAATGATGCTTCATTTTCCTCGAGTGGTTGGGACATGAGCACTAGCTCTTTTCTTAGCCATATATGGCTTATGGTTATAGCGCCATTACTCGCTTTCTGAAAAGAAAAAAATGGAATAAAAGGCCGTAGGAAAGTAAAAGGAGGAAGGAACCCTAGTTCTGAAACTGAAAAAACACGTGTCTCTAATCAATCCACAGGAAAAGTTCGCTAAAACTCACAAAGACTCGCGAACTTTTCTTTTTGTGTGCCTATATTTACCGAGAGGCCACCGAATCAATGACACCCTCATAAGTACTATGGAGTTGGAGTATTGGGTACGGTATTAGGTCAGGATACGCCTCAACCAGGCGATACAACCAAAAGCATATGATAGTTTTTTTTTGGAGGAATTTGAAAATAAACCCACGATCTTATGCACAGTAAGCAAACGCAGCAGCCACTAAGCTAGCCGAGTTCCTCAATTTGTTTTCTTAGTACTGTATTAGTGAAATTTATATGGAACATAATGTTACGAACTAAATAAATAAAAAGGAAGGATCTCACCCGAATAATCCTTGAAGCTCCCGAAAACAGTTCAGAAAAGTTTCTTAGATCTTGATTAAGGAAAACCGCTACGCATCACATGCAACAGTCCGGCATCTCTCGGTATCACTATAAGCCTGCTGGATTCACACCATCGTGATCTTAAGATCTTCTTTGCCCATCAGCTAAGACAGCTCCCAACAAACACCGCTCCTGGAGCTTCCTTTTTTCATTTTCTTTTTCACTTATCATCTGCCATGGTCTGATCTATCCAATCCCATCCATGAGATTTTGATTGATTTTTAATTGAACAGTCGGAAGTTTGTTTAATCACGATTAAAATAGTTAAAATCACCAAATGAAAATCAGCAGCAAAATTAAAAACGTGTCAACTTTCCAGCGCGACCTACTTCGATCTTTAAAATTTATATGGGGATGTTGGTTAAAATGTATGGAGAAATAACATTCCTTCAGCTAACTCGATTAAGCTCAGAATATCAGCACACGTGGCGTAATAAGGAACAATTTTGCTGAAGATCACGATTCATGTTAGTATTGTGGAGATATTAACTATTTTACTTATATGTAAATTTTGCTCGAATGTTGCATCAAAATACAGACAACGTATCAACTAGATTACCACCAAAAATAAAAGTTGATATTTTCCACAGCCCAACATCCAGGCTCGTGTCTTTTGGTGCGATAACCACTATCTGAATGTTTCAGCTCTTTTTGACGTTACACGGGCTGGCGCTTTTGGTTTAATGTTATACAAAATGCTCATATGCATTTAAAAGCGAATATCTCAATAAAAATTAACTGGATTCATGGTGCAATCTTCAGAAAAGTTGTTACTCATTAACTGAACTATAAGTTTTGAAAATCAGAATCAAAGCGAGCATAAGGACACTTTTTTATGATCGATAGAGTGTTTGAGTGTCATTTTGTCATGTATTTTATCCACATTCTCCATACAATATTCAAACTAAAAGCGTCAGCACGTCCTGCAACCAATTGAGCTAAACTTTCAGAGAATGGTTTTCTCACCTAAAGGCACAAATCTAGAGGGTGGCCCGTGGAAAATTAGAACTTTTATTTTTGTGGACCAGTCTACTGAAGAAAGTACGGGAAAAGACCTAATACAAATTACCGCGTGATTCATACCGAAAAACACAACTGCTGCCGTCGACTGAGTGGAAGCTGAGGAATTTTTTTTTAGTTGGAAAGAACTTTCAGAGATGTTGGAATAAACTTCGGGGGGAAGGTGATGTAGGCATGAGAGAAATATATAAATAATTAAATATGATTTCAAATACAAATAATAATAAAAAAATATACATCTATAAATAATTATATATAAATATAAATACAAATAATAATAAATATATAAATAATAATAATCAGCAAACAAATAACAAAATAAAGTGAGAAATACCAATGCAGTTCTAGTAGATTATATAGCAAATTAAAAATATGTAAAAGATTTAAGTTTACTCCCTTTTGAAAAGTCGAAAATAAATTGGTTAGAATGCTTTTCAATTTCGAAGCAGATGCTAAAAAAAAAATATTTCTGAGATCTCAGCAAGCCGTTGTAAAAAATAGAAAATAGGATCATCAGTTTTCAGACGATTGTAGTAACGAGTGGATCGAAAACAGCGAACAAAATGAAGAGAGGCGAGAAATCCGACAGGTGATACCATCTGTTGCTTGCTAAACATCCAGGAACAGTGAAAGTGCTTTCGGGGCAAGTCTCGGAAGAAACGTTCAGAGACTGGGGGATGTTTGAAACAGCTTCCAGGATAAATCGTAAGAATCTTCCGGTGGCAGTCAGAAGAAACTTCCGTAGGAAATCTGAAAAAAAAATAAACTCACCGATGGGATAAATCGGAAGAAATCTACAGGCGTGGAGGAGGACATAATCCGTTCGCTGGCATCTAAAAAATATTATAACCCTACGTCGCAGTATGGTTTGTTCAACGTGTTGATTCAATTTTTTTTATATGTTGCCGTGTTGATGGCAATCGAAAAATCATCCAGTGTACCTTCATATTTCAGCGCTAACGTGCATGCATACCAATATGCCAGTTGCCAGTCATGTCGGATCAATCCTTTTCAAGGGCCAATTCACACTCCACTCTACAGCGAGCACCTCCTGGAGCGTGAAAACTGGCTGCAAGAGCTGCAATTTGTCTGCACCTTGAAATTACCGTCAATTTCTGATGCACTTTAGTTTCTTTCTTCACCTACATTGCGCCCATTGTTTTCCGACGTTGCGTGTTGAATCCTCCATATCACGTGATACAAATCTCTGGGAGATTCAGTCGCGGAGATAGTTAATTGGCTTGGGAATTTACAATCGGGCTTGTGATACAGCTAAATAATTCACACCGTCACGCTTCTTTTTTCCTTCCTTCCATTCCGGTCGTATTTTATATGTTTCGAAACGCGACAGTGAAAGAGACCCGAAAGTAGGCCACCCGGTGGCATTGCCTTCAATTCCAACCATTTCACTGACTATATCACTCACATCACAACAGAGGTAATCGAACTCTGGATGGATGCTGCCATCATCATTATCATCACCAGTCCATCGTCATCATAAGATCAATATTCAAATTTTCGCTTATCTCGTTAACCCAGTTTGAAGAAACGGTTCTCTCCACGCACTCTTAAACATTTATTTCAACATATCAATTCTCGCCTTGCCTCTTTTTGCATTTCTTTTATGGCTTCTGTTTGGGTTCAATCAATTCTGAGTCAGCTCCGTCGTCCGATTTCAATTCTCATTTGCTAACAATCAACACCAGAAGAGGCTACCGGTATGTGGCCACTCGAACCATTATATACTTACAATCGAAAAGAGTCTTAATTAAATGTTCACATTTTAACAAACTTTTCGTTCTTTCTTTGCAGATATTTACGTTACTTCTCACCTGCATAGAAATTACACGGGCATCACAGTCGTTGTGGCCGAGCCTTTCGACAGATAAATGTTCCGGCAGCGGAAGCCTGAAGTACATCTCCGGTAATGCTCTGACAGACAGCGCGAACTGTTTAGGACCGAACAATGCTCCGTATCCAAGCAACGTGGTGTCACGGACGTTCTCCAACTGGAATCCTAGCGGGTCGTCTCGGCGGGGGCGCATGAGCCAAGTGCCTACCGTGGACCCGAAAGTGATGCAGCAAACCCTGATGCAGACCTACAGCGACGTCAATGAGGTGTCACAGCATGAGGATGTCCGCACGCGATACAGTGAGTAGGATTGATTTGTGTTTTGGCAACGAAATAAGCGTTTTGGTCCCCGTGAGCTTAATTGGTACCGTAAAGTATTGAAATCCAGTCACTTAGGGTAGAGCACTACTTCGGTGTAAGCGTCTATTTCCGTCATATCGTGCCAAAATATTAATGGTTTCGATATGAACGAATCAATCACTAACGTATGATAGTTTGGTTCAAATTAAACAAAGCAAAGTCTATAAGAACGCATAATATGAATATGTACATCCATTCTTCTCGAACACAAGAGAAGCGCTCCTAGCCAATCCCTTTTTCTACCACCCGTATGCTGAAGTGAAGCCAATAACGTTTCAATGTGTTTGGATTTGAAACTCGTATGACGGAGTTGGAATCAAAAAGCAATGTTGGATTTTATCATTATCCCGGTAATTGGTGACTCTTTATCAAATCCAACGGTACGTATGGAAAAGTAAATCATTTTTTGATAGAAACATTAATTTTTTTTTTGTTCAAACCGGTTCGAAAAATAGAGGTAAAGTGCGGGTTGCTACATAAATTTGATCTTAACCCCATAGTACACAAATGTGGACACTTCTAAAAGTCAATTATTAATGTCTTGAATAGAAGTCAGAAATAGTTTTTGCAGACCAACAATAAGGTCGGAACAAATCACAAGTTTTTATTTTGTCACTCGATGCTCGCACCAGTCGAGGGGGGGGGGGAGGGATAAAAAATAAACCAAAAAAAAATAAAACATTTAAAATTCGTTTTACATTATATCTAAACCGTATATTTCAAACGCTAAAATTTTTTCTTAGCCTCCGGTTTAGCCTTATACTTCTTTGATGCCGTGATTTTTGACACTAATGCCACAAATGTTGACTTTATTATGTGTAACACTCGAATTATCAACAAGACATTGGTAATAATGTAGATGAATAGGATCAAAGCAATTGATTTTTGGGTATTGATAAATTCCGGATAAACCATCAAGCGGAATAACACAAACGTAACAGTTCTGTTTTCGATACTTTCTCCCTATCCAAATATAACTCAGTTTTCTCAACAATTGTTCGTGCTTCAAAAAATCTAACTAGACGTATGGATTTAGGAAGATCTATTCAACAAAATCCAAGCGTAATATTCAAAGAAAGGAGCCAAAATCCATCCTGGCTGAACATAAAAACCAAATTTTAACAAAAATACGTAGTTTTGTCAATTTAAACCTGGCTTTGGGTGTGCTTGAAAAAATAATCATCACATATGAATTCAGCAAGGTCAATTCTATAAAATCTAAGCATAACTTTCAAAGGACAGTATCAAAATCCAACTTAGCAGAAAAGGAAAACCAAAAAAACAACCTTTTTGAATTACAAACCCGGTTCAACCTTCACATATGGATTCAGTAAGGTCCATTCTAAAAAATACAAGCCTATTTTTCAAATATATGAGCCAAAATGCAATTTGGCAGAACCGAAAAACCAAATTTCTATGAAAATACGGATGGATTCAGCAATTCAGTAAAATCCACGTCTATTTTTCAAAGGAAGAAGCCGAAATTCAACTTGGCTGAACAAGAAACCCAAATTTCTATAAAAAATACGTACTTTTGAGAATTCAAACCCAGTTTTCTAAAAAATTGTGCATGCTTCAAAACATTTACCATCACGTATGGATTCAGCAAAGTCCATTCTATAAAATTCAAGCCTATTTTCAAAGATCGGAGTCGAAATTCAACTTGACAGAACAGAAAATCAAAGTTTTTATGATAATACGTACTTTTGTGAATTTAAACTCGGTATTCTCAAAAAATGAAGAAATTCAACCCTCATCTATAGATTCAGCAACTTCTATTAAAATACAAGCCTATTTTTCAAAGGTAGAAGCCAAAATTCACTTTGGAAAAACAGAAAAATTTATTTTCTATGAAAATACCTTCTTTTGTGACTATTAACCAGGTTCGTCCTTCCGGTATTCAGCAAGTTCCATTCTATGAAATCTAAGCACAAATTTCAAAAGATTGAACCGAAATCCAACCTGGTTTCAAAAAAATCTACCATCACGTATGAACTCATAAAGGTCTATTCCATAACATCCAAGCCTGTTTTTCAAAGGACGGAGCCAAAATCCAACTTGGCTGATCAAGAAACCCAAATTTCTATAAAAATACGTACTTCTGTGGATGTAAACCCAGTTTTCTCAACAATCGTGCTTGCTTTAAAAAAAAATCTACCATCAGGTATGAACACATGAAGGTCCATTCTTTAAAATCTCTGCCTAATTTTCAAAGGATGTGAATTTCACAAGAACGAGGAAGGGATCTAAGGGAGCGGAATCTACATTAAAAGTAAGGTAAATCACTTCAGGAAGGTTTTGAAACACTTCAGAAAAGGTTGGACACCATTTGGAAAATTTAAGCTCAAAAAATTGTCGGTTCACTTCGGAAAACTTCCTACACTTTCACTAAGCAAGATTGTGTCCTTGCCAAATGCCAAAGCAGTTAACAAAAATCTGAAGCTCACTTAGGAAAATATCAAACCCGTTCTGACTAGTTTGGTTTCAGTTCGGAAAAGTTGAATCAATGCAGGAAACCTTGGATTCATTTAGGAAAAGGATTAATCAGCTAATGTTGCCTCACTTCAGAAAATGCGAAACCAATTCTTTAAAGATTGGATTTGGAATATGTTGAATCACTTCAGGAAAGTTTAGACAACTTCAAAAAGGATTGAATAACATAACAGAAAAGTTTAGACTCAGTTAAAAATATTGATAACTTATTCGAAAGTTTGAACTCGCTTCAAAAAAGTCCAGACTCAGTTTTGAATCTGCTTTGAAAAGTGTCACCTCAGTTAGGAATTTCCTGAATCGTTTCTGATTTGGTCTCACTTCTAAAAATTTTAAACCAATGTTTAAAAGATTGGATTTAGCTCGGAAATTGTTGAATCACTGTAGAAAAGAAGTGAATCATTAAGTATCATTGTAGAAGGTTTGTAAGTTAAGAAATGTAGATCGAATGCAAAAATCTTGCGACTACGGTGGGCTGGATACATCGTAATAATGTCGGATAACGACCCACTGAAAATGGTTCGACTGGGACAAGACGAAGATGTGCGCAACGAACAAGAGGGATCGATCAGATTGAAGGTGGCTTACCTAGTGTGTTGCCAAACAAGATTAGGAATGATGTTCGATAAAATCCGTTTTCAACAACTGAAACCGGCTGATCCGATTTCAAGGACCTGTCATGCCGTACTGGTCAATTACCAATTTATGTGAAAATTCTTTAAAAGAACAAGGTGATACAACAACAACAACAACAACATAATACAATCTAGCAAGTATCCATACCCAAATGAATTTGCGAAAAATAAATATACACTGAAAGTTTTATTTTATTTTTATTTTATTTTATATGATATTGCAAAATTTTGAAGGGGGGGGGTGACAAAAGAAAAACTTGATACACTGAAGTCTTTTTTTACACGGTTTTTTTTTACGCGGTTTTTTTTACACGGTTTTTTTTACACGGTTTTCCACGATTTACACGGTACGTTTTTAACGATTTCTCGACAACGATACAACCTATCGACTTGCTTCCAATCACAATCCGTTTCAAGCTATAGGTAATCGAATGGCATACTTAAAAAAAAATCACAATTTTTGGTGTAAATACAGACATTTTTTAAATATGTCTATATGGACCATATCATGCTTTAATTACAAATGGCATCAAAATCCGATTTTTTAAAAACATTTAAGCATGTGAAAAATCAAAATCTCGTAGGTTTTTTTTACACGGTACGTATCCCCCGTGTAAAAAAAGACCTGAGTGTATTTGTTCCGGCCTAATTATTAAAAAAAAAGTCGTTATGGCAGCTATCCATATAAAATAATCCGTTAGAGATAACTTCGTCAAGATACAAAATTTGTCAATTCATAAAAAAATCACTGGATAACTTTTCAAAAGACAGTTTTAACGTGTGAAATTCAGCGTCTTTTTAATTCTGTTAGTGTTGCTGAACGTTTGATAAATATGTCTAGGCATCGAATTGAAAACATTTATTCCTTTAAAATAGTCAATAAATGTGGTGTTATTATTTCAACCGCGTTTCTAGTATTATATCTATGAAAACCACTTCCTCTTTCAATTCGATCACACAAATATCGAGGCAGCAATCCGTTAACTACTTTAAAAATGAACACCATAGTCAAATACACTATTCTTTGCTTCACCGACAACCATTGTAAGGCGTCTAGCATCAAAGTGAGGAAGTGAATCAATTATATCTCAAAATCAAACGCATTATTTTTTTCTGCAAGTGCTGTAATCTCGATATTTGTGTTGCATTGGCTTAAAATAAAATGGAAGGTCAAAAGTCTAGATGACGAGAGATGATTGATTTGTATAGCTGTATTTTACTGCCAATAGTTAAATCGTTTTTTTTTCAGTCGACTTAGAATTCCATACGTCTTGGCAATTTTCTTGATGACATTGTCAATGTGAGAGTTGAACTTAAGTTTGTCATCAATAATCACGCCAAGATATTTAATCTCCCGAACGCAATCAATAGTCTCATCATCAATCACCACAGAGACGTTCTCTCTTGGGGGCGACCCCGGCGTAGTGGTTAGCATCCATACCTCTCACGCCGAAGTCACGCGTTCAAATATCACCCCGGACAAGTCACGAAAGAGCGTTAAAAAGGCTATAATTTAAACAAAAAGACGTTCTCATTTACTCGATTCCGCGAAATTACCATAAATTTAGTTTTACTTGTATTCAATTTCAACTGTTAGTTCAACCATCTACTTAGAGAACGCAAATCTTCATTCAAGTGTAAAACGGCATCATCTAAATCCTTAGCTGCAATGAATAACACAGTATCATCTGCTAAAAGATTAATGTTGCAAAATCGTAAAAAACGTCGCAAATCATACATAATAAATAACAGGGGCCCTAATACACTTCCCTGGGGCACTCCAAGGTTATTCCCCACGGGACTGGAAATAGAATC